GAGAGAGAGAGAGAGAGAGAGAGAGAGAGAGAGAGAGAGAGAGAGAGAGAGAGAGCAGAAGAGAGGGAGCAGGAGAGGGGACAGGGGTGAAGGAGGAGGAGAGAGGGAACAGGAGAGAGGGGGCAGGAGAGAGGGGCAGGGAGGGAGCAAGCCTGAGTAGTGATCAGAGACTGTCTAGGTTTGAATGCTGAGAGAGGAACTAGTTAGTACACTCTAATGGTTAATGTTAATTCTCAACTTGACGGACACTCTAACTAGATCTCTGGGCATTCTTAAGGGATGTAAATTTTTTAATCACTCTAATTGTTGGTGTGTGTGAGTATTCTCTGAGGAGGGGACCCTAGACAGTATAAAATAAAGAATACAAGTTAAGAATTGCAGAGGCTGGCTCTCTTTTCATTACCAGCAATGCAATGTGACCAGTTGCTTTAGTCACACAATGCTTTTACTTTGCCTACACAGTGATTGAGTGTTTGAAACATTAGACAAAATAAATTCCATACTGAATTACTTCTGCCAGAGTGTTTTTTAATCACAGTGACAGGAAATGAAACTAGACATAATCTAAAGATCACTTTGAGTAATTATTTCATAGAATTTAAACTCATACATAATTGTTTCCTGCACTGAACCAAGAATAATTTGGGGCATAGAAAATAATTAACTAATAGCATGGATGTGAAGAACATATTCCCCCCCACACACATATTCAACATATAGATGGAAGAACATACATTGCATTGGTATATGATTAAAGTTTATCTAAGATTTTTATTTGCATGATAAATAATGGACCATCACACATGCACTCATTTGCAGATGATATAAATGTAAGTTAAAAGTGAATTGTAAAAGGCTAATTAGAATTATGGGGATAATTTAAAGTCCTATGGATAACATTGTTGGGACTAATTGAGTCCTGGCCTTCAGCTGCTCTTCCCTCCTAGAACCTTCTAATTAAAGTTACTAGAAGCTGTGCCTAGTTAGAGGATGAGAGGATGGGATTATCACCTGTTGACCATTGACTGCAGTGTATTTAAGTCTACATGGTGTTAATAAAGAGGGGCTTTCTGAACCAGTGTTTAAGGTGTGCATGTCGGTCTGTCTCTGCGTGTCTGTTCTCAACCTCCAACCCCTTGCCGGAAGCTCGAGAACTGGGTTCTAGCACACAGAGCGCAGACAGGGGGGCGTGGTGCGTGGCATAACATGATTACATCATCAAATGCTTAGAAATCAAATTAGTTTCCTGACAACCCTCAATATAACAATATCTGCACTTTATACAAGGCATGATGCCTATAGAGTGAATTCCCACAATACATTACTTTATTACAGTCAATTCCTTCAATGATCTCTTCTTATATTGTACACTAAGTCCTCTGTGATACAGTTCAAACTATGATCACAGCAACTGTGGTGTGCAGCTGAATCAGTGACACAGCACTGGCACCTAAGTCATCTTCTGCTGTTTTAATAACATAAAATTTAAATTTAACCTAACTCTCCAGTTTATAGCTCAGTATGAGCCATGCTCTTGCGAGCACTTTCCTAGACACAGCAGGCCTATGACAATGATGCTGGCCACTCTTACTCTGCATTTTCCTCCAAATATTGGTGTTCATTTGTTTTGGTATAATTTTCTTCCTCCTGAGTATTCCTAGAATGCTCATCCACGAATATTCATCCAAACACCTATATCACAGGCCATGGAACATTCCTAGCAATTTTATTTCCAGAAATTATTTAAGGAGTGCAAATTTTTTATTACAAACTACATGTAAGATATAATTCTGGGTGAACTTGTCAAAATAAATAAACTTGGCTTCTCCTAGCAACGAATGGAAAGTAGAATTGGAGATCATTTTGCAATTTGAGGAAGTGAATTTAGGATTAAATCCCTAGGTTGTCTGTTGTGCGTCAGCTTTGATATACAGCTCAAAATCTTGAATGGGATAGAACTGTTCAACCCTATCCACAGTATCTTGCATAAATTTTGGCACTGATTAACACAGGTGCACATTCTAATTTCATAGATATTTCCAACATCAGCAAAAAAACAAGATTTTTTCTCATGAAAGTTAAACTTATGGGTTCATTAACAACTAAAAAGCATATTCAGACATTAACACTGTAAATAAAACAGATTAAGGGATGTTAAAGCTAGGTCTTTTCATAGAGAAATCTTGTAATACCGTGTCAAAGGAACATTTTGGCCAGTTATTATAAAGGTCATTATAGCCTTTTCATCTGCTTTGATAGTTATCTCTACTGCATAATACTAGTTTTAATTAGACACATAATTTTAAGACTTATTTATATTTATTTGTTTGTGTTTGTGTATGTGTGTAGTGATCCGTGTAGTTCAAAAGGGGCATGAGGAACCCAGGATCTGGAGTTACAAGTACTTATGAACCATCTAATGTATACAATGAGAACTAAAGTTAGAACTTTGGAAGAGAAGAAAGCACCCTTAACCACTGTGCCATCTCCCCAGCCTAACTAGGACATTATTCGGGAAAAGCATACTAAGTACTTCAAAGTAATCATTAGCAGAAATCTTAATCAGTTTTCAGGCAACTTGTCGATCACACCCAAAGAAATAAGCTTTGCATGCAACACCTAATAAAATTTAAAAATTTTAAATAAAATTTATATTAAAAAATCCTTTGTATTTTAAGAAAAAAGAAATACAAACTTTAGGAAAATTTTATTTCCAGTGATAAATTATGTTACTGAATTACATACTGAAATCCACGTTTACCCAGAAGTCATTTCACATGACAGTGACATACATTTCACCGTCTCAGCACTCATGAATCTTGGTCTCAATACAGGAAACAATTACGTATGCGTTTAAATTCTACTGAAATAACTAGTAAATAAGTCAAGATTATCTTTATAGATTTTTCACTTTACATATAAATATTATCATTTTCCAATAATTTTATTTTATTAACAGTTCTGCAAAGTAGAAATAAGAAAAAATTATAAAAGTGGGTTCTGTTTCCTAAGAAGTAATGTCTTCAGATACCAGCATGCAGATAATGTGAAGTATTAATAACTCATCAATGGACTCTCCCAGTTTTCTTATTTAGTCTGATTTCTTTCCCATAGCATTGTCAATGAGGTCCATAGAATACAAGTAAATTGTTCTACCTATGACATGAGTTGGTACTCTGCTGTATAGATAAAATAAGAAGTCAAATTTTATTAACCTAATCTGAACTAGAAAAATTAATAGAAATGAAAATTCTAATTTCCGCTGAATTGTTAGTAGCTGGGCCAAAGTATGAGTCTGTTTTCACTGTCTATAAAGGGCTATAATATGAAAACAAATCAAGATTATTGGATTGTTTATAGCTTATTATTAGCATCTTCCAAAGTAATATACGTGTCATGGTTTATAATAGGAGCCTTGGGTTAAAACAGGAGCCTTATGATCTTCCCTACTATGATGTTATTTAGGGTCCATCATTTAGTATATGTTAAAAATTAATTAGGAACAAACTAATAGTGGCTTGTTTAGGACCAGTATGGTGGTCTTAGAGATGATGACATTAAATTTATTGAAAATGAATGGGCTGTCTCATATTTATGTCATCTCCATTGACATTTTAATTAGGTTAAGTTGTTGTAGTGGCTTATGCCAATAATTCTAGCATTTAGAGAGCTGACCTGACAGAGCCCATAGGTATGTGTCCATTCTACCTTGACTAAAGGTCACAGAGTTGGAACTTCTGTTTCTTGAAGGTTATTGTCAACAGGTGTCGCTAATATTCAGACCTGGTATTTCAGGTATTAAGAAGTAGATCTGTTTCTGCCTCAAACAAAGGTCCCACCTTGCTTTAGGCCAGAGAGTTCAGCCCTCTCAAGTTTGTTGTCAACAGGTGTGACTAACATTCAGACCTGGTATTTCAGGTATTAAGAAGTAGGTCTGTTTATACCTCAAAGGAAAGGCTAAGGAACCAACTTAGTTCTTACTGCCTTAAAGGAGTAGGAATAACAATGGATTCCACCCAGGGAGTGGTTTGCCTACAGAATGTTTTGATATAGGCTGTGAGTGTTACTTTTCTTGTTCTGGTAACAGAATGTTTAACTAAGAATGTAGCCCATAATCCTTTAACTGGTCTCTTCACTCCCTGTATCATGTTAATACAATTTGATCTTACTCCTACCTTTTAGGGTCGGGGTATTTAAGTAAATGAAAATTAAATGCAGGCAGTTTTTAATATTCACTGGAACTCCCTCCGGATAATATCCTACGCTTCTGTTTGTTATTTTTCTTTTTTTTATTATTTATTTATTTATTAAAGATTTCTGTCTCCCTGTCACCGCCTCCCATTTCCCTCCCCCTCCCCC